GTGGCGCTGAGCGAGGTAAAACGGAAAAAGTCACACAAAGCTGAATTATCAATCGACCGTGGAGCGTACAGTAGATTTTGCCAATTGTACTTGCCTCTCTGCTTTATAGCCATTTATCAGCGCTGGCCTTTCGTTCGTTATACCACCGTCGTACCCGGCAACACTTTACGCAACCTAATTCACGCGTACTTTTAAGCCTTTCTATACAAATAGAGCATCAGAGGCGCGGGCTCACCTATACGCGTAGCATACATTTAATAAATATGTAGGATAGTAAAAGGAGTTTAATGGAGAGCCAAGGAATGTCTCATATTTCCATGCATGAATTATTTATAGTGCCAATGAGAAGAGATAAGAGATGATAATAAGTGTGCTTTTGTAATTTCCAAATAGTTCATAAAAAGAAACGACAAGAAATATTGTTAATGTTATATTATAGATGGGAGCGTTCGTCGTGCAGAAATTTCTCTATGCCGACGAGAATGCGAAGCTTTTATTTTTTTCCTTTACTTTTTTTTTCGCAAAATGCTGTTAAGCAAATGAATTTTTTCATGCGTAACCGACGTATTTTCATTCGACCTAACTGAAAGTCGTAATTAGTTTAGCGATCGTAAATACCTTGTATTTTCTTAAACGCAATAAGAAATTATTTAGAATAATACGTTTCGTACGTACATTATATACGCGGGCTCTTTGAATAATTGAGGCCGATCGTGCATTTGGCAGACAATTTTCGTAATTCGCGACACAGCACCGCTTCGTTAAAGAAAAGATACAAATCCTTACGAGAGGCAGCAATTTATCCGGTATGAATGATAAATGCGACAGGACTCGCTCGACAACGTCACGCATCGTCAAACATTGGGACACGATCGGGATGCAACGCGAAAGCTTAGCTTTCCAAAGCTCCCCGCCTCATCCGAGTATCAAATATGCGCAATATGCGTGATAATTGATGGAGCGACGGGGACCGAATGGCGGCACGGAATAATGGAGGCGAGCACGGGCGGGTAATAACCGAACTCTCCTAACTGTTCACGAAGTGGCATTCTTGTGTTAAGGTCGGCGCGCTACCCTCTCGCCTCACCTGCCTAGGGTAAAGTAATAATAAAATAATGTAAGGTCAGGGACGCGATTGGCGATTTATATGCCTCGGGTCTTGGCAAGATCGCTGGCTCAGTTCTTTTTATGGGAGTAAAGGCCGAGATGATGGCGATCTTGTTTAGATCATGATAGATAATTGAACAATTGCTTATGTTATGCGCTTGCTAATTTAATCGTCGGAAGGTCGAGCAATTTCACGAATTTTTTAATCCAGTTTACGTTAAGAGTTCTTTATTTTGGCTCTTTGCATCTGTGCTGTTCGCATTTAACTTTAGCCGCTACTGCCTGCGCTAACTATAATTTACGATTTTAATCTTTAATGCCCCGGCTAATTTTATAAATATTTATTTCTCATTTACTGTTGATTTTCAATAAGAGTAGCCTGCGGACATTATTTCGAATGCGCGAATTGACTTATTTTGTTTGTTAAGATACTTTGAGTAATATTAGAAAACTTATGCAAATAGACATTTAAAATGACATTATTCATAATCCATCGATTATCGTAAAATATTTTTCACTTTTCCTTGCGGCACTTACCTTGGTCTCCGTGTCATATTAAATTGTATTGTAAAAAATATCGATAAAGATTGTCCGTTTGTCAACCATTATGAGAGAGAATCGAAGTATCTACAAATTAAATTCACACATTTCCCAAGATAAATGACCAACATACTAGGAATTTAATTTACTCGTTAGGTAAATTTCATTTTTTAATATAAAAGTATGATATTCATTAGAATAGGTCGTTAAAGGCATTTAAAAATTATAAATATGCACGTAGACGCTCACATACAAGGAGAACTAATGATATTGTTGAGCACTAAGTCTCATGTACTTCCTTTCGTTACTCAATATCTTTTAATTTGCATTTGTGAATTGGCCGTAAAAAGCTGCACTTTAATAATTTTTTACCTTCCATAACAACGAATATCTCGATTTATTAAAAATCTTATGTTATTCTATTTAATAGAATAGCACAATATTACACATAATTCATTTTTAATTTTGCTGTTAACAATGGTTTTTCGGCTTTCTATTGTCAAAAATGTTACTTAATTACTTTCCCTATTTACCGTTATTTCTAATTATTTATAGCGGCAACTCAATGAATAGCTAGAAAATATTTACCAAAGTTAATAATACAAATAATTTTCAGCTTCGAGTATTGAAATCGTAATTTGTTCAGTGAAAAGACATTGTACGTGCACCGACAGATGTTCTTGAATTCCTGTATATTTGATGTTACTTTCCGTTAAGGAAAAAACTGTAATAATAGCATAATTTTGCAATTCGTCTTCTAGCGATACAAATCTCTCATAAATATGTATCCTGCATTTAAATTAAAAAGACTCTCTGAACAGTTTTATTACAACATCTTTTCTTATATTGCATGCCTTTGAAGAAGTTTAAAGTAATGTATTTTCCCGACACGACTTTCGAATGCAAAATCGATACAAATGTTTGTAAAATCTATTTTTTTTTTCGCATTATTATTTAAATTGTCGTAATAATTGTTTTCATGTATTATACGTAAAAAAATTTTGTTACTTGAAAAATAATACAAAATACGAATAATTATCACCATTCGATATAATGTAATAATAATCAATAGATATATATCTTTAGATAATCGATATGATATATTTAAAAAATAAATATATATATATATATATATGAAATAATAATACATTTATTCGTATTAATCTTTGTTTTTTATCTTTGTTTCTTGAGAGAAATAAATTATTTATATTTATTATTTATATTTCCATAGATATCTTTAATTACAATAACTCGTTAATTTTTATAACAGACATTAACATTCATTTTATAAATTTAATGACGCATCACGAGCTTCGAGCTAATGTTAGAATATATTTTAATTCAAACCTAAAGACATATTGGATTTTATTAAAATAAAAAAAATTTCTTAAACGTATTCTTAATTGGATTATCCGTAAATATACACTCGAAATACACTCGACAATATTATTATTTTATTATAATCATACATAACCATCGAATGAATACAAGACTTACATGAGTTCAAAAATATTTTTCAATTAGTATCTTGTTTCCGTGTATACATGACCAAGACGGTAAGTAGTTTATACTTAACATTATATTTTTTAATATAAAATCCTATTATATACGTTACATAAAAAATTTATGTATCTTACGCTCTAAATCTTTATGTTACACACACGCGCGCGCGCGCACACACACACACACACACACACACACACACACATACCTACATATGCATATGTACTTACTTTGCGCATTAACGCGCGCGCATACACAGTCAAATATGCACGCGAGCACATATAATTAAAGTAATTCAATTCAATTATATTGATTAGGGATATTGGTTTTGCTGCGTCGCATGTAATATAGTTAAATATTCATATCTAATACAATGTAATGAAAATTTTGTCATTTATTCAAAATAATAATGAATTTCCAGTGCGCCATGAACGTTGAATTCGAATATGCAGTTATAAAAATTTTTCCTCTCTTCAAAAATCTTGTTCTCAATTACATGATCTTATATTTTATTCATTAGACTTTCTTGCTGTCAGGTTATTCATACCAGAACCATAAATTAAATTGTAAAATAAATACATTTGAAGATAATTATAATAGTACGACTATAAGGTATTAAATACTCGCTACTTATACGTATCGTTAAATTTCAAATTAAGACGTTTATTTATTATTTTATGCGTTTTATAACGGTTAAAAATTAAGCATAAAATGCTCTGAACATAATAGTGTCTACAATAATGTAATTACAAAAGCAAAGGCGAAGATTTATAAATTTCAATACAAAATTAATGAACAATTATATGTTTAATATTAATCTAAGGTTATATTTACATTTTTACATTATCTGGCTGTTAATAAAAGCAATAGTTTTTTTTTTATTAGTCTATTGAATTTTTAAAAATTTAACTCTGATATCATACGTAAATTTAAAATTTTTTTTTTTTTTAATGTAAGATGAGTAATTAATATCACGAATAATAACTTATAATAATTTTTGTTTTAAACATGATGAAATAAGCGATAAAACTTGCTTTTCTTGAATATACATACGATATTGAGAAATATTAAAATGTAGTTTCATCAATGTTAACGAACTGTGCAATAATACATAATAAATACTGTAATTCCTTTACACATAAATATGTATTAAATATATAATTCGAAGCTGTTATTATTATTTTCAATTAGTTATTTTTAGAATTAAAATGTTGGTTTTAAATACTAAATTATATGTGCCATAAAATTTCATAACATTAATATAAAAGTTTTTTTTTACTCAATGATTTTTTACATTTACAGAAAAGGCTTACAATTTCGATAATAATTTGTATATGTTTAATTTGAAAATAGTAATTATTGCAAACTAAACACAATAGTGAAATAAGTATATGATTAAAAACTTTAAATTAAATCTAAGTAAATTTTTATTTATTATGTTATTAATATGATAAACAAAATAGGACGGCACAATTTCAATTGCTTTATTCTATATCAGTGTAATTCGATGATAATTCGGAGTTGCAAATAACTTAATAATGATTTTCAACCAATAAAAATTAAATCTATGCATGAAATGTCAAAATTAAATAAGAAAAAAATAATTAAATACATGCATGAATTGTTGTAATTCATCTGTTAATAATAATTTATATATAATTTTATAATAATAAATAAATTTAGTCAAATTGTATTTATTTAGTACATTTATAAATAATAATTTTATTTTTAGAGATCTTTTATCTCGCTATTTCATTTACTAGGTCTTTGCATATGAAATATCTGCTATTCTACTGGAATATTTGAAAACAAACAGTAATTTAACACTTTTATAACTTGGAATTAGTATTTCTGAAGTATATAAAATCATCTAAATATTTATCATTTAAATATTTCTTTTGAATATCCTTTTTTACGTACATAAATAATCGCATTTGTAAAAATTAATTGTTAAACCTTACAATTAATTCTAATGAGTAACAATTTACGAGAAACTAAAGTATTAAGTAGAATAAAATAGATTAAAGAAGGGAAATTCCAATTTAGATTAAAAATAAAATAAAACAAATTTATTTAACTCAAAATATCGTGAAAAATTTATTATTATTATAATAAGTAACATCTACATCATTGAAGTAAATTAACTTCTGTCTCCATTTAACTGAATATTATCACTATCTTTTCATGACATGTTATTTATCTCTACTTATAGGAACAAAATCTTAACTTTTTTAACCGAGATTCTACGATTGATTCTGAAATTATTAATTATAGCACAATTTAGTTAATAATAACACATATGAAAACATATTTAATCAATGTTCTAATAAACATTATATTATTATTATTTATATTATATTATATGTCGGCCAAATAAACTGAAATAACAAATATTATCAAATGCTATCAAATATTAATTATTTCTCTTTTTTTTTTATCGAACATTAATTAGTTTTATTGAATGGATACTCATTAAATATTCATTATTTATTATGAATACTTCCAAAAGTTTTAAAAAAAATACAGATCCATTTTCAAGGTTTTAAAATCATTAAATTATTATTCTTGCATATTACATTTTATTCGTATTTGTTCAATTAAATTTTGTATGAGAT